AGAGAGAGAGAGAGAGAGAGAGAGAGAGAGAGTAAGGAGGGGGTGGGTCAGAAGTTAAACTACACAAAGTTCTTTATGTGACAGGCCCAGATAATGAAATTCCTTTCTTCCTTGTTCTCCCAACCAACGGAGAAAAATGCCTGAAAAATCTTTCCGTCTGCTGGGCTCAGCGGCATGAATGGCCCACATAGCTCAGTAAAAATAACGACCAATCAAATACGAGGAAGTACGCGACATTCGGGAATCTCTCTGGGCGCTTACAATTCCTCCCACCGCGTCGAAGCGTCGGTTAAACTTTCAAAATTGTGCTTATCCAGTATTCCCAAAGATCAAACGCATTCAGTTTGTGTCAGCCAAAAGGCCAACAATATGTTCTGTATAAAATTTGTAAAGGAAAAAAGATAACCACGGATATTTTTGTCTCCATTTTAGACAAAGACCAACTTTCGAGGTAACCCATCGGCGGGAGGTAAAAGTAACAGCTGACCCCAGAGCCGACATTGTTACGTTAGCCTTGCCTAGGCTAGCTCTGGTGTTGGGCCAGTGGCGCAGGAGCCGAGCGCTTGCTTGCCGAGCACAGTCTTCAGATAGAGAGAGCGCACAGTGTGCTGCTGGAAATCCGAGTTGTGATTTTGTTGTGTTCGTTCATTGGTGCTGTGCGACTCGTTCACTTTTCAGCCCCAACGGTTCCATTCGAAAATGCGCAGGAGATAAGGCTTGCTTGTGAGGATCATGATTTTCACTGGGATTGCCAATCACAACTCGTGTGTTTCGTGTTTTCTGTGATATATTCCACTTCGGATTATACTTCAATCGAGGATTTTACCGAGGGTTTTTACACTCTTTCTCGAGAGTAAAAAATGGCCGACGTTCGTTGGTTCTCGATAGCACAATGCATCAAAGCATGCGTGTTATGTTTTGTGATTTCGTATGGACATTGCCAGACATTGAATACGGCTTGCATAGAGATGAAGAAAGCCTACACGGAGAAAGGATTCGACGAAAATGAGGTTCCAATCAAAGCCATTTCGGGTATGTAAATTAGGGGCCTTAATTTAGAAACAACAGCAGTAGGGCCTCTATCTCTTGGAAAAGGCTATGACTCTGGCTGTCGTCTTCCTTACTTTGTCTTGATTATTTTTGGAGTCTGGTTTGTTAAATATAATTGTCAAAATTGAAATTGATAACAACATGCCTGGCACACGTATTGCACAGTTTCAGAATTCAGAAAACGAGGCATTGCTGTTTGGATTGGTGGACAATGGATCGGGTTCGATGAATCAGAACTTTGCGTTCGTTTGCCTTGCAGCCTGTCTCAACTTTCTTTCTCTCTGGTCGTAGCTCTCCCGATCCCCAAGTTCACCGCACAGCGAGGCGTTCTCGGCGCACCAATCCCACAGGGTGTATGACTAACTTAGATTTCAGCTACAGGGGCAGGGGGAGGGATTGAACTTAGTTTTTACGAGTGGGAATTACATTTAAATGAGTGAAAGTAAAGTGTATACAGTAGATCTAATGATTTTTTTTTACTGCTTTGTGATTGGCACCAACTCTAGAAATCTATCTAGATCTAGATCTAGATATAGATATTCTAGATCTAGATCTAAAATCTAGATCTAGATCTAGATCTAAAATCTAGATCTAGATCTAGATCTAAATCTAGATCTAGATATAGATCTAGATCTAGATTCTAGGCTGGAGTCTAGGGCCGTTTACCAAATCGGGTAGATCAATAGAAGACTTCGATGATCTAGATCTAGATGTCCAGATCTAGATCTAGATCTAGAGCTAGCCTATGTTCAGACTCATTAAATTCCTTAGACTTAAAAAAGCTATACAAGATCAAGATTTAGAATCTAATATTTAGTTCCTTCTTAAAATCTAGATCTCGAACCCCCCACCCCAGTTTTGTTAAAAATAAGTGAAATATTTGGTGATCTTGTAGTTCCGTTTTGCCCGTTAAAGTCCACGATCCATTTGTTTACATCCAGAGAAGAAATCCAGATGTCTTGAAGACCAAATACTATTTGAATTAGGCTACACAAAG